CTGCCTCCAGAATCCTGTCTTTGTTTTATTAAGATAAATAACAAATTTGGAGAAGAGATCTGGTTGACGAATTTGGCTCATCAGATAGATACATTATACGAGGGGTCTAGATTTTCAAGGGAGCACTGTATGTGTGTGTTTATGCATGTGTTTGTGTATACTTGTAAAAAAATATATACTGTACTGTATATATACAAAAAATTACTAAATGTATAATATACAAAGAATTACAGAGAAATGAAGAAAATATATCTGACTTCTTTTGAGTTCCTCAGCGCATCATCAAGAGTCTCTGGTGATGAGCTGAAGAGCACGAAGGTGTTCAGCAATACTTTTATTACACTATGATTTTTTGCATATAAGGTATGTACTGTGTGTGTGTGTGTGTGTGTGTGTGTGTGTGTGTGTGTGTGTGTGTGTGTGTGTGTGTGTGTGTGTGTGTGTGTGTGTGTGTGTGTGTGTGTGTGAGTATGTCATACCTAATAGCCAGAATTACACTACTTAGCTTAGTATGCAAATCCCATTTTGCCTAACAGGCAATGTAATTTTCAATATTTCTTTCCAGATTAGCTTATTCCAATTAATACTGACTCTTTGTTATGTTAGGAAAGGTTTGATCAAATAACTACGTTAGTTTTAACTCAAATTAAAAAATAAAATAAAATACAATGTAATGCAAAACTATCATTTCACAAGAAAAAATTATGAAAAATATAATGTTACAAACATTCTTATAGAATGATAAAAGTTTTTGTTGTATTATATGTAATTAGAATTTTTTATTTGAGTCAAAACAAAGAAATTTGACAAAACCTAATCTAATCTACCCTAACTTAACTTTATGCAACTTAAATAAGCCAATAACTCTTGTTCCTAATATAGTATAAAAATATAGTTAGGAATGAACCAATTTTGAAAGAAATATTTTAATCAAAATTGCTCTGTCTATTAAGTAAATTGGCCTTTGCTTACAAAGTCAAGCAGTACAGTTCTAGCTATGTATGTTTGTTATTGAATATGACAGAATGGGTTTCATCAATGATTCTTATATGAATCATCTCTATATTTCTTATGTTGTTCTTCGCTTGAGAAGGAAGTTGAGAATTAACCCTCCAAAGTTTATTTTTTACAGTTTTATTTGGCTTGCTGCTATGAGATGTGTTTCAATGACCCTTAAACATTTTTTGAAGATAGAGAAGTGGATGGAAAACAGCCAAAACAACAAAAATATGCAACAAATTAGAATGATGTGAAGGAAGGTGTTACCCATTCGATGGTGAATAATAAAAGACGGTAAGTACCCTAGTACGGAAGCTGCATAAAATACTATTGGCCCCAAACAAGGCCGCTCCTGGGGTAGTGTGTGTGTGCGCGCGCGCTGGATATTCTGTCTTCATCTTCAAGATGGTAGAATATAACTGAGTAATTACTCAAGTGTAATCAGCTAAATGTAGTTACAGGACAGGAGCTATGCCTAAATTATTCTACCTTCCCTCTATTGTATGATGCTTTGAAATTATTGATGGTTTTGGCATCCATCACTTTATCACTTAATTTGTTCCAGCCATCTACCACTCTGTTCGCCAAAGTAAACTTTCTAATATTTTTTCTACAGCTTGAAGTTCCAAGTTTTTCCTTGAAGTTCCAATTTTCAAGAATTATTCTTTATCAATTTTGTTGAATCCCGTTACTATTTTGTACGTAGTGATCATATCACCTCTCTTTCTTCTATCCAATAGCGTCGCCACATTTAACAACTTTAGCCTCTCCTTGTACTTCTTGTCTTTCAGTTCTAGAAACTATTTTGTTGCATGTCTTTGCACCTTTTCCAGTTTGCTGATGTGCTTCTTGAGATATGGGCACCATACAACTGCTGCATATTCGAATTTGGGTCTTACAAAGGTTGTCAACAATTTCTAGCATATTTCATTATCCATTTACTTAAAAGTGATTCTGAAGTTGGAAAGCATAACATACAGTCCTTGCACATTGTTCTTTCTGTGATCCTCAGGTGACAGTTTTCTATCCAGAACCACCCCTAGACCCCCTAGATGTCTTTATCAGAATTCTTGAATGCTTTTTCAGATAATTAATAGGTTGCATGAGGCTATTTTCTCCTATTCAACATTCCATGACGGGGTATTTATTCAAATTTAATTCCATTTGCCAATCTTGAGACGATTTCGGGGCTTTAGTGTCCCCGCGGCCCGGTCCTCGACCAGGCCTCCACCCCCATGAAGCAGCCCGTGACAGCTGACTAACACCCAGGTACCTATTTTACTGCTAGGTAACAAGGGGGCATAGGGTGAAAGAAACTCTTGTCCATTGTTTCTCGCCGGCGCCCGGGATCGAACCTGGGACCACAGGATCACAAGTCCAGCGTTCTGTCCGCTCGGCCGACCGGCCAAGTGTTGCTCCATATACTTATTCTGTCCAGGTCTTCTTGAGGGGCATGACAATCATCTAAGTTACTTCTCTTCCCTAGTAGCTTTTCATCATCAGCAAACATGTTAATATAATTCTGCATTCCTTCTGGTTGATCGTTTATGAAGTCAGTGAACATTACTGGTGCATGAACTGAATCCTGTGGTATAGTAGTGACATTTCTGCAATACAATACCTATGATTACTGCCCTCATTTTTACAAGGGAAAACCTTTCATTGATGATAGAACTCTTCCTGTCACTCTTCCAATATGTTCCAGTTTCCAGAACAACTTCTTTTGTGGGACTCTGTTAAAAGACTATTTTAGGTTCAGATAAACGCAGTCAACCCAACCATCTCTTTCCTGTAAAATCTCTGTGACTCTATCATAGAAACTAAGTAGATTTGTTACATAGGTTCTTCCCGATTGAAAACCATACTGTTTGTCTGTTATTATATTACAGTTTTTCTCTCCAGGTGTTCTACCCATTTGGTTTTTATTATTTTCTATATTGTTTTGACTACTATTGTCAACAATACAGGTCTATAATTAACCTTAAGACAGAATTGGAGAAATTGCCATACTCGCCTATGCACAAACCATAAAAAAAAATCCAACAAATAATTTTTCATTATAGAATTATTAATTTGTATGCAGAATGTAAGAAAAACATGAAAGTAAGTGAATATTTACCATTTCACTGGGTGGAGGTACTCTGCAAGGCTGCATCTGGCACTTGTCAACATCTGGTGCTCGATTATGCTGACGCTTCCTATTTTATCCTCCGATGTTTCACCGATTGTTTTATCACTTTTCTTCTTTATTTACATCCTTTGGAAGTTTTTATATCCATATTTGCATCATGCATGTGAAACCCAGACAATAATTGTTTAAATCTTCACATGATGATGACTGCATTCCCCTGTGAATCAACAATTGACGATAACCGCTGTCTATGGTTTAAGAGGATCTTCCCTCTGAATTGTAGACCTTAATTCACCTCATCATTCTTTGTTACTATATTCAGTTGCTTAAGGTAACTTGAATATGCTTCACCTCTACCTTTGAACATGCTGACAGGTTCAACAAAATGCTTAGTGTCATGCCACATGCAGTTGTAAAAGTGATCTTTGCAGAGATCATTTTTGAACTTCCTTCGCAAGTAAAGATCATAAGAAATAGAGAAGTTTTGTCTAAGAATTGCTCATCTAACCCTTTGTGTCACATTCATTCAATTATTAAATGAAAAAATACACATTTGTATTTATGTATGTATGTATGTATGTATGTATGTATGTATGTATGTATGTATGTATATCTATATATATAAGTATGTTGTACCTAATAGGCCAAGTTGCCTGAGAAGGTGAATTTTCCTGAAATATTATACTTTTCAAATATTTCTTCTTATGGAATGATACAGCTTTCATTACATTACATATGATTTGAATTTTTTCTATTTTCATTCAAAACTAACGTGGAAATTTGTTCAAACCTAACCAAACCTATCCTAACCTAATATAACTAAGTTGGTAATTCATGTTCCTAATATAATAGATTATTATTGTTAGAAAAGAGCCAATCTGAAAGGAAGTACAGTATCTGAAAATAATGAAAATAATTTGGCCTGTTAAGCAAATCAGACCTTGCATTCTAGGCCAAGTAGTGTGGTTATGGCTATTAGATACAACAAAACACATATGTAAGTCTCTTGTATCTAATAGCCAGAAGCACACTACTTGGCCTAGTATGCAAGGCACAATTTGTTTAATAATTTTCATTACTTTCAAATATTTCTTTTTATTTTTTCCAATTAATATTATTATATTACATATATTAAGAACATGAATTACTGACTTAGCTATGTTTGTTAGATTAGGTTTAATCAAATTTCTATGTTAGTTTTATCTCAAAATTTAAACTTTTTTAATCATATATAATACAATGGAAAGCATTATCATCTGCTAAGAATTTTTTTTTGAAAAATATGTAGAGAAATTTTAAAAAAAAGAGAGGGAGAGAAAAATTATAGTTGTTTATTTCAAGAAAATTTGTATCAAAATTACGATATTCTGTGAGATTTATGACTGCAATATCCTCTTGTTTCTAATCTCTACTAAAAATGCTGGTAGTATTGGGTGGCCAAGCCTTCTATAATGTACTATAAAATATTGTTTTTTAATAAATTAGTAAGTAACCTTACTGTGCAATAAAGTACAATACTGTTATTATAAATGATAAAAACTATTGAAAAATGTTTTGTTTACCAAAATTGTAAAACGTAACATCAAAGCTACTGTCTCATATTTTCATATTTTACTCTGTATGCATCACAGTTCAAAAACTATTTACCAAAACAAAATGGTCATGGTAAGTTGTAGCTTTGCTGTTAAGTTGTGAACTAAGTAAATAAATATACAGTAATAATAACATTCCTAATTTATGTAATACTTATAAGAACAGACTTGCAAGTTTTCTTTTAGATACTTAACCAAGTTCCAAGTGATCTAGCACATATTAAAAGAATCTTTAGGCCTATACCACTATATGCAAGGTTTATGATTCCATTAATTACCTCAGGAACAGAATGGTAAACAGCCAAAAGCTGTTCTGTACTTTTTGGGGTTCGTGGAGAGGAATCGGAGGTGCCGGTGGTAGTGGTGTTTGTTTCAGAGTTAAGGGAGTAATTTGGTGCCCTCATGTAAAGGTAATGATGAACACGGCCTTCCCGAAGATCGCCAGAGCTTGATGCCACAGAGGCCTGAGAGGGGCGTCTGGAGCCTGCTGTAGAGTAAGGAAACATATGATTAAGACATGTTATTGCTAGAGTAAGTAACTGGCATAGTCATGCTGAAGAAAACTGCTGTCCAACTCGAACGTATTTTCATTGAAATCGTTGCACCTGTAAGGTAAAAATAAATATGAAACACACCAAAATTTAGAGAAATAAAAAAGGGTATGGTTTTATCTTGATCATTTACTGTCATCTATTCTAAGTCTACTTCATTTTAAGTAGATAAAAACATCAAGAGCTAGTGAAAATTTATATTGGGAATTTATGCAATAAATGCATGTAGGAAAACAGTGAATAATCTAAAACTAAGTTAGGTGCTATTAGTAATAAGTGCTCCAAAAAGCCATTGCATATACAAAAGATAACTATAAAACAAATTGAATTAAGCATATTTGACAACAGCAGACTTCAAATTGAAAAGTTAATTTAAAAAAACCTTGTATACCATTAATTAAAAATATAATTCATGTTTGAACTGCATTTTCTTTAAACAATTTTTCTTACTTTTGCCACTGCATTGAAAGAGCTACTACAAAGAGGCAGGGAAAAGTGGGCTTCTACTCTGACCTGCTGCATTACTAACGTGCTACACGAGTACGAGGGACTAAAGTCAGCCAAGGAGCCTCAAAGAAAAGTGAGACATAGTGTATAAAGTAATGTTAACCTGAATGAACTAGAGGTCTGCAATAGAAAATCCATTCCATTACAACACAGATCACTGTAAAATAAACTTATAATTGTCTTGAAATATAAATAGCAAGAATCAGTTAAATATTATAATATTGTCATTTTTCTTATTTTAAAACTTGCTTTTGATACACGTTTAGGCCTTTTGAAAAGAATATTTAACTTTAATGCCAAACATGCTGAATCCTATACAATGATATGATAATGGAATGGACATCAAATAAATGTATTTCAGGAATAGAGAAACCCAAGATCTGGAGGGATATCTAATGCAGACCTCTAGAATGAACGGAGGCGGGATCCCTAATGCACACGTAGTATCCAATCGGCTCTCCACGACCCTCTCCAACGACCAGTCGTAGCGAAGCTTGCGAAGACCGTCTTGTGCCTGTGGAAGGACATGATGTAGTCAGGCTAAGAAAGATGAAGAGAACAAGCGGATGGTGAAGAACACGATACTGGTGTTCTATGGACAGACAAAATGTTGTTCTTGTATGGACAGGCATGATGTTGATGTTGTATGGACAGGCATAATGTTGATGTTGTATGGACAGGCATGATGTTGATGTTGTATAGACAGACATAATGTTGATGTTGTATAAATACACATGATATTGATGTATGAACATACATGAGACTGATGTCGCATGAACAAACATGATGCTGCATTTGTAGACATAAAAAAGGTGTCAATTGTTTCGACTAAAATTCTCTTCTCTTAACTAAGACGCTAATAATGTGATGATGACCATGAACAGACATATTTGCCATAAAGCAATATATATATATATATGAGGATTATAGAGATAACTCTTTCCTGCATTACATAAACTATTACAATGTAAGGAATGTAAGTAGATATATAATAGATAACAGCTACAGGTTGGAAAAGAGAACAAGAGTTGAGAAAATATTAAGTGTACCCTATACACTGCCTCCTACTTTGAAGCAAATAAGCCCCAAGTGAAGAACTTACTTGTTTGTGGATAAGATGTCAACAATAACAATGGTGGAATTATCAACAAGTATATATTGTACTGTACTGTACTTATATCTGCAGTTGGATGGAGAAGAGGTGTGACCTATTTTTGCCTATGACTATGAAACTCATTAGTTTCATATAACTATGAAACTAATGATGCAGCTTTGTTTCCTTAGCTTAAATCTATGACCAATTGTTCATGAAGTTCCAGGTTTCAAGAATTCTTCTTTGTCAATTTTGTAGATTCCTGTTTCGATTTTGTATGTACAGGACAGAACAAATACAAAAGCAAATGGTCCCTGCAGTACAAAAACAAAGTCCAAGATGGCCAAACCTTATCTGATAACAGTGGGACCTAACGAACACTCAGATGAGAAGAGCATAACAGAAAACGTCATGGATGTAAACGCTAGGCAAAATAGCTAAAGCTCATAACTAAGGGATGGAGGTAGAAGGTGCACATTCCTCTTATGATGCCAATTTTCCATGCAGTGTGCATGTGAAACTACTGTAATGAGAGAACTTCTTCATGACCGGGTGACACGTCCATTTCGTGGCTTTGTTCTTTCATTTCCTATGACTTGTTTACCTTGCACTTTGTATGTTTAAAGGTTTCCCCACCTTTTTGGTGGCATCTTTTTGGTGAGGGTAATCTTAGATTCCTTACTTCTTACACCTCTTTTAAAGGGGGGGCCAGGTTTTGGCCTCTGATCCCTAGTAGGGTAACAATGACTTGCAAGGGCTTGGCATGGACTAAACAGGATGGTGCTTGCTAGGTAGCAAGCACGGAGGAGCCCTCCCAGAAATAATTGGTAATTCTTTATCCAAATTTATGAAAATTACATCAATATCAAAATGTAATTAATGTGAAATTCTGTATATCTAAGGACATTTGACAAGCTACTGGCTTCCTGTCCCCATTCAAGTCACCAGGAATATGGTGGCTTTGAGGTAAATTTATGTCCCGTATAAGTATTTATATTTTTTAACTAATCTGCAAAGAGAAAATTTAGGTATTTTTGGTACCTTGTGACCTTGTGATGATTTCAGGGTTCAACGACCCCCGCAGCCCGGTCCTCGATGTACACTATTTGGTATATGATACTTTTCAGAGTTGCACACATGGTTGTGTCCAGTTGGACTATTATGCACTCCAATGGTTAAGAATTATCCTCATATGTATCATCTACAGCAAAAAAAATTTAACTAAAAACCAGTTAATTAAAATTTGCCAAAAATGATCCACATGATTAGTGATTTTATGAAAAAATATAAAAACCTGTACATACAGCTTACACTATAATTATACCACCATGTATTTTTAAATAAATAATTATTATCACTATTATTATACTTCACTCAAACTGATAGAAACAATAAATAAGGGGAATAGAGTCGTTAACATGCATAACATCAAAACGGATGCACAAATTTCTTTAAATAGAGCAAAGCCTTTGTAATACTGTCCCTTCCTATCTAAGCAAATTACTACCAAAAGGCTTAACCCATGACATAAAAGACAATCTTTAAGAAATACAAAAAAATGAGTATGGTATAAATAGGGCTTTCAGCATAGATGAAAATCTCCTTACTGTTAAGTCACTAAGTTGATCCTTTGAGCAATTTTACACTCATAAGATGGAATCAACCACAGTCAAACACTACATTAATAAACTGGAAAGGATGAAAAGACATACTAAATGCTTCCGAAACTAAAAACAATAACTATAAGGAAAGGTTTATTTTATTTATTTATTTATATATATATATATATATATATATATATATATATATATATATATATATATATATATATATATATACATATATATATATATATACAAGAAGGTACATTGGGATTGTGAGGATACATAGTATAGTAATTACAATCTTATAAAGCCACTAGTACGCGCAGCGTTTTGGGCAGAAACGTTTCGGTTAGAGGCGTTAAATATGCCTAAGCTGGAAGATAGAAAGAAGATAGGCAATATGATCACTACAGTATGTACAAAATAGTGACAGGAATTGGCACAATTAACAATGGGGAATATTTTAAACCAGTAATTTCAAGAACAAGAAGCCATAATTTAAGAAAAGGAAACAAAGATGACAAAAATCTATGAAAGTTCCCTTTTTGTGAACAGAGTTGTAGAGTTGGAACAATTTAAGTGTGAATGGTGGTAGATGCCAAAACCATCAGTATATGATATTTAAAGCATTAAATGTCAAAAGATTATAGGAAAGATAAGACACCACAAGCGCAGATGTCATGCTGTAGCTACACTTAGGTAATTGCTACAATTACTACCCCCTCGTGACAAATGGTTCCAAACAACTCCACCAAGTGATGTTGCAGGGGAACGAGGGGTAGGGAGGATGGAAAGACACACACCTTAGATCACTAAATTCAACCCAAAAAGACAACCAAAAGGCTAGTGCATCAAAACTCAAAAACCCTCCAAGCAGTATTCAATGACAAAAGAGATCGTTGATGAAGATATAAGTAGTTAGCAGTCATCACTGTTAACTACTAGTTAGGTTGCCACCAAGTATCAGCACCCTACATGTAACAGTCCCAGTTAGTCATTATTCACACACTGGGTTTGATGAAGTCCTAGAAGTCCTAGACAAGACTAGGGAAGTGTCTTCCAGTGAAAAGCAAAGAAATGGCAACAGGAGGACAAAACCCCTGAAGGAGGTGAAAAAACTCACCCAAAACGCGAGCTCGCACACCCAGGCCCTGGTAAACAAACCGCAGCACTGCTGGTGGCCAGGTGGGAAGGTAAACTGCAGAAAGAAAATGACCACCAGAACAAGGAACCATGACCGACGCAATAGATCCAAAAACACGCCAGCAAATGTGGGAAGTAAGAAGACGAGAGGGACAAAAAAAAAAAAAAACGCCCAGAAGCAGAAACCCCAGGCAGGGGCAAACAGCCCCAGAACTGCTAGCAGGCATCTCCCCCAGCCTTAGGAACCCGCAACAGAGGCCCCGGGAACTCGCAACAGAGGCCCCGGGAACCCACAACAGAGGCCCTGGGAACCCGCAACAGAGGCCCTGGGAACCCGCAACAGAGGCCCTGGGAACCCGCAACAGAGGTCCCGGGGTAGAGCCGTCTTCCACACCCTCTGCCCCTAAAGAAAAGAAAGAATTCAGGGAAAAGGCAGCTAAGAAAAGGCCGCTGGTAAGATCCCAGAAGCCTTGGCAGGAGGAACAAGCTCGAAAACCTCCGTCCCCAAACCCGAATGGGGTATCCCCTGAAACTGCCCGAGTCTCGGCCCCAACTAAACCCCCACCCCATCCCCGAAAGCCGCAGACAGTCAGGAGCCGGGAACAGGGAGGGAAAGGGGCGAACAGCACCTAACCAAAACAGGGGAGGCCCCGGGGCATCCGGGTGGGAAACCAACCTAGCACGTTGCAGCAACCTAAATCGAGCTTGCAACATGGATGAAGTCTGTACTCTGAACAGTAAGGATATCAGGAGAGTACTGGAGAACAAGCAGAGAACACAACTCGCAAGACTCCGGGTCATGGTGTCAGTGACCCAACAGGCAGCATGACAGAGGTAAAAGTGGCGACTGTCACCCTGAGACAAGGGCACAGCAACCAACAAACCCGCACAAGACGGGATGGAACCTGGAAGATACATTCAATGGTCCACCGAGTCCCGACAGGGTTTTCCAGGGCCCGTAGGTTGATTACGGGAAGCCCGGGCATGGTGATGCAAACTGGTTAACACCCAAAACTATCAAGGGATAGATGCCAACACTGAAAACTCCTGCAACTTTACAATCACGAGGGCCTAGCAGAGGGATACCAAACACTACCAGTCTAACTATAGCCACACTAGGCAGACCCCCCACCAGGTAATTTAAATAAAAGAAAAGAAAACCCCCGCAAAAGTACACCGTTCCCAGAGGCAACAGGAACCGATCGCCACGTGGGTAGCAGGTCGCGCAACACCTTGATGTCCTAACCAGCATAAAATCAGTCCCTACCCAAGGCCAAACAAGGGTCCCAAGCCCCAGCTGGCCCCAAGGGCAAGGCAAATGCCGAGCAGCAAAAACCTCTACGAGAATGGTTCCCAAACTCCCCAGGGAAGATAACCCTGTCACGCAGGGGCAGTATTCACAGGGCGCTTAGGGAAGGAAGCCCCTAAGCGCATGCAGCCCTGATACTGATAAGGAACACCTGGCCACCACACAACACAAAAACACAGCAGTGAGCACCACGAAGGCAAGCACCGCCTAGGAAACTGAGGCCAGAGAAGCATCTGTCCCGGTTGACATTAGCTTATGAACTGGAGTGCTATGCAGCCGGCGCAGTGAGGTCCGGAGCCCCTGGGGCTGCGTGGATGAGTGGCACAGCAGTAATGTGTTACGTTTGCTTGTTTCCTTGGGATTGT